CTTTTTTTTTTTTTTTTTCTGTGCATCAGCTATCAGCGCACCACGCCGCGTGCACCGCACCACACGGCGCACCGCGCATATGCGCCGCAAGTATGAGTCGGTGAAACTTCGATGAAACAGTTTGTCACAGCCCCTCGTTTGTTGTCCTCTTCTCCCTTTTGTCCCTCTCTGCCTACGGTTTACCGGGCAGCTCCTCTGTTTGACGATATATGTTACCATCTAATCCTAAATTGTTTATAAAAAAAACTTTAAAAGCGGTTAGAAGACAAATAATAAAATATGCAAAAAAAATGATTGGTAAAGGTAATTCTAACTGATCTGAAGAAGATAGTAAAACAAATGACGTTTTGTTGTCCTGTCGCCTTCTAGAAAGTGTACATATCCCTAAGGGACCATAATTTTGAGGAAATAGAGGGGTCTGATAAAAGTATCCCCTAAGATAACTTCATCTATAAAAAAGACCTCATTTGAGGACATATGAGCAGTGGAGACCATAAGGGACCTAAATCAAAATGATTTGGCAGCAATCACAGTAGGCGCGCTTGGTTGTACCTAAGGGGATAAACTGGGTAAGAATTACTCCCTTTCCCTTGCCCTTTATCTCCCGTTGCGATCGTAACTGGTCCTTTTGCCAGTTCCGAATCGCCCTTTTTCTTTCCTACCGGCCATAACTGCTCCTTTTGAGTCTTATTTATCGAGACGGCGACACAAAAACCTAAGTTTGGGGTCGCTTCCTCCCTCCCTTGCACTCTTTCTTCTCTTACGGTAATAGCTGCTCCTGTTGTCGATGCAGATGATTTTCATTACAGTGGTAATGACCATCGTTGCTGATATACTCGCATGGCAGTGTGCACTCTCATTCACATGTCTCACCTGCGCTTGCACGGACACGTCATGGTGTCAACACAAACACGCCGCCGTACAGGGAAGAGATTCAAGAGAGCAAGCGGACTAAAGAAAAGCAGTAAACGCTGAAGAGAAAGGCATGGACTGCAGGGAAAACTTCCAAGCAGCAATGTGAAGCGCATCAATCAATGAAGCACAATATTTGCTCAAAAGTGAAAGAATTTGTGTGTATGTAGAGGCTAGCAAGATGCACGGTTGGGGGGGTGGAGGGGAGCGGGGGGGTAAAGGGAGGGAGAGAGGGGCAGTGACATCTCGTAGAGGGTTTAAGGCCCCAATTTGCAACAAAAGGACACGTGGGAAGGGGGGGTAGTAAAGGGAGGGAGAGAGGGGCAGTGACATCTCGGAGAAGGTTTAAGGCCCCAATTTGCAACAAGAAGACACGTGGGAGGCGGGTCGATGTGGATGTGTAAGAAAAGTCATGGAGTGAAGAAGATGGGAAGCAAGCTGTATGGAGATGCAGTTAGTCAATGCAAGAAGCAGGAGGAGGGGGGGGAGGGGGCTTGGAGGCGGAAGATGTGAAATCTTGGAGAAGGTTGAAGGTCCCAATTTGCAACAAGAAGACACGTGGGAGGCGGGTCGATGTGGATCTGTAAGACAAGTTATAGAGTGAAAAAGATGGGAAGCAAGCTGTATGGAGATGCAGTTAGTCAATGCAAGAAGCAGGAGGAGGGGTGGGGGGTGGGGGGCTTGAAGGCAGAAGATGTGACATCTTGGAGAAGGTTCAAGGTCCCAATTTGGAACAAGAAGACACGTGGGAGGCGGGTCGATGTGGATCTGTAAGACAAGTCATAGAGTGAAAAAGATGGGAAGCAAGCTGTGTGGAGATGTAGTTAGTCAATGTAAGGGGGGCTTGAAGGTGGAAGATGCATACGAAAGGTGGTAGTGTATGAGTAGATTGTACACACCCAACAATCTGTGTGGAGATGCAGTTAGTCAATGCAAGAAGCAGGAGGAGGGGGGGGAGGGGGGGCGCTTGAAGGCGGAAGATGCATACGAAAGGTGGTACTGTACAAGTAGAGCGTACACACCCAGGAGGAGCATCCTGTCAAGCTGATGGGATATTGGTGCCATGCTCCATGTATGATGACAATATGATCAGAATTGAGTCACAGTGACGACCGTCTTCACCCGAATAGAACGCCCTGTAATTGTGGCTGGATCCAGAGTGAAAATTGCACCAAATACGGCTATAATGATGTGGCATCCTGTCAATCTGATGGGATAGCGGTGCCATGCTCCATGTCTGCTAAGTTATAAGAACGAGTATGATGATACTATGGTCCATGTCTTCACCCGAATAGAATGACCGTCTTCAACCTGGCCGGGGCGTATCCGTGATCTCGAAGGCGGACGGCCTAGGTTGCAGGGTCTCCCACTGCACTTTTGGGACTCGCCTGGCCTCAGTCATACCCATAGCGGTATTACTACGGTCTGATTTGTGGTAGTGGGGGCACGCGTTAAAAAAAAGAATGCCCGGTAATTGTGGCCGGATCTAGACTGAAAGTTGTGCCAAATACAGCTATAATGACCGGGCTTTCTATCTGGGTGAAGACAGTAGTCATCAACCTGGCAGTTGAAGGATGTCTGAAGTGGGTGAGCCGGGTTATGCTTCGTGTTCAATCTGCGGATCGCAGGATGACATCCACGCGGTCTAGGACACTAGGTGCATACTCGCAGACAATCAAAGAGCTATCAAAGCACTATCAAAGAACTAGCAGGTGATGACTCTTTTTTGTCCTATTAGAATGTGTACTAGATGGAAGATCAGACTGGAATGAGCAGTTTGTCCCTCATCAATAGGCACAAGGATGTAACTTATTGTCGTGGTGTGTGCTAATTTGTATGATTACAGAAGCTGGCAACAGATAAGGATGCTGAGGTGGCACAGGTCGCGACGGGAATCTTGTACAAATTCCGAAGCCTGTGGGAAAGTGGAGCTGATGTTGGAGGTTTGCTTTATTTAACGCGCGGAATAGAGAACAGAGGAGGAGAGGAGGCACCCGACGGCCAAACGGATGGCCTTGAACCTGATATCGAAGATGATGACGATGGTCACGATGGCAGTGGCAGCTAGCAAGGCAGCTGCCGGGCGGCATTTTTATCCGACGGGGTGGGGAAAAGTTCAAAAAGGGGTGAAAACTTCCCTATGTGCAGGCCGCAGTAAGATGACAAGAGTAACAGTTGTTGAATGAGCACGGGAAAATGGTGGTGGTTGGTGAACAGGGTGGATTGCACGAGGCATGAGGTGAGAGAGAACCAAAGGAAGGGAGGG